GGATGAATGAGTGATAAACAAATGTTCAAGTTCAGACTTATATAATAAGTACAGTACAGTTCTTCTTTAAACACAGATAATCACCTTGATGTGACACTAAGGCCTGCATTAATTCAGAAAGGTTTTTCAGAGGTGGAAATGTTTCTAGCAGAAGGCTTAATTTTAGTTTTCTTTCAAACAAGACAAAACTGGCAAGGGTAGTGCTACCAAAACCATGATCCCAGCATATGCACAGAGAAAAAGTATCTTTCCTGACACCAGATCTATCAAAGCTCAGCTATACAGATCCACAAACATCAGCAAATCTGTAAGTTAAAGGGGAAATATTAACTATATTTATAGCCAACTCTGGATATTTTTTTTCCCCTCAAGATTTTGCAGTACCACAGAAATTCTAGCTGACACCACAGAAGTTTGGTAGGCTTTCGGAACTGAGGCCCTGCCCTATTTTCAACTTGAACTTTCTGGCCATAATACAGTCAAGGATAGGAAAACATGTTACTTATCCACTCTCGCAGTAATACCATTTTATCCCCGATTTTATGATAAGTATCTTGTGGTTTTTCCCACAGAAGTGAACATGTGATATAATATTTTCCCTTCTCTAAAGCTTGTGGGACTAGCAATAATGCCAAAGTCAAATTCAAAATATACCTAAGGTTATGTTCTTATGAAATCAGTAATTGTCCAAGTATTAAAAGACTTAACTTCTTGGGGTGCCCGGGTGGCTCAGTTGGTTAAGCCTCCGACTTCAGCTCAGGTCTGATCTCGCCGTTCGTGAGTTCGAGCCCCCGCATCAGGCTCTGTGCTGACAGCTCAGAGCCTGGAGCCTGCTTCCGATTCTGTGTCTCCCCCTCTCTCTGACCCTCTCCCTCTCACACTCTGTGTGTGTGTCTCTCTCTCAAAAATAAACATTTAAATTTTTTTTTAAAAAAAGACTTAACTTTTCTATGACCTTACTGACAATCAAAAACCTTTTAACCTATTTTGTCAGCTATTCACTCCTTCAATGAACCAAATTATCACATTTGTAGAGGACTCTAAGTAATGCTGGATAAGAGGACTGGAAGCCTCAAAAGTGCCCCCAAACATACTTCTAGCCCCAGAGAAGAATATCTTGATTCCACTGAATAATCAAGTCAGGCAAAATCAGGGATGATGGCTTGGGATAAGAACGGCTAAGAGAATTAGAATGAATCATTCGTATCAGAAGAAAAAAGAGTGCTCTCAAAATAACAATTTTATTCACTTGCCAGTGAATCTACTGAATTCAAAGAGAATAAATACCATGTCAGGCTCTGAGGTACTGTAGGCTAGATGGGATGTTATGACTGAATGTTGTAATTTAACAAGCAAAGACAAGCTGAGAAGGACTATATGGCAGCGCCTTTAACTGACAAGCACAGAAACACTATTTAAAGGGACTCAGTAGAGTAAAAGTGCTCAACTTGGCCCCCAGATCAGCCTAGGCCACTGGCATTGTTTCTGTGCTCTATGTTGAAACAAAGTATTCAGACATACTCATAACTGAAACAAAGCCTAAATGAAAATGTGGACAAAAGCTTTATGAAAACTAAAAAGTAGCAAGAAGAGTAACAAAAATGCCATGGACATCTATAATGCCTTCCTGAAAACTGTGCTTAAGCCAATACATACACATTGGTTCGTGCCTTATGGTCACTTTAGACTTGCAACCTAACTGGTATATAAACAGAGACAATGATTCCACTAATTTCAGCAATGCCTCAGAAAGTACAGTCTGAACCAGGAACACATTCTATTGTGCTCATCATGCATAGTGGCAAGTCTTAATTCTCTGAGGCTCAGTATACTTCTTTCAAATAACTCAAAGATTAATATATTTTAATTTATTTTTTAAATTCCAGTGTAGTTAACATATAGTTGTATTAGTTCCCAGTGTACAATAAAGTGATTTAACAATTTCATATATTAACTCGGTGCTCATCAAGGTAAGTGTATTCGTAATCCCCCAAAGATTGATATATGTAAAGCACTTAGAATAATGCCTAACACATAGTAAGAGCTATATAGGCATTAAAGTTTCCCCCATTATCCAAAAGCAGGGCATTCTGTGCAACCTTTCATAGGTTGAAATGGCATAAAGAAGCAATTACCATTAATTTATATGGAAAATTTTTTGAGCATTTCCAGGCCCCAAAAATAACCTCTCTGAGGATTTTCTGATGCCTTACGACATATCTTTCTAATGGATGCACAAAATAAATTGACATAAAGCACTAATGCTCACAGACACAGTTCAAAGCTTGGTGGCTTGCTGCCGAGATGCTGAGTGTAGTTCCCAGGGAAGGAGCTTGGTGGCGCCACTCTAGCTGCTGGGGAGGCACGCCGCCTCTACATCGGCTAACTGCAAAATAAATGCTGAACGCTATATTCCCTTTTCACCGTTTTTTGTAAAAGCAAAACTCCTCTTTGGATTTCTTTGGTTAGCAAAAAAAAAAGATAACGAGTGCAGGTCTTTTGTAAAAGCAAAGTGGTATAACACATGCTTTAAAAAATCAAGGGATATCTGCAGCTACTTTTATCACTCTTGGTCAGAGAATGGGGTATGATAATAAAGAAGACATTTTATTATGTAGCTCGTATATTCAATAAGTCACCATCATCTCTCTCCAGTATTCCCGCAGGAACCTCATGACTGCTGCCCACCCCACCCCCACCTACTCTTCTCTTTGCTGGCTCAGTCCAGCCACCATTGCTTCCTTGCTGCTCCCCCAGCATACCAAGGATGCTTCCACCT